AGTGGACAGGAAAGACGATGGGTGACAATCTGAGGAGAGCAGAGGATAAAAATAGATGGCGAGAGCTGGTTATCAGATGCAGTGGTTCCCCAACGGTTACCCCAACCACGGGATAGAAGAAGAAGAAGACTCTCTTGTAACACCTCTAATCTTCTGGCGCTCATATGACCTTATGCAGTTGTGAGCGCCGTAAAACCTCAACTAAAACTAAACTTTTTATGGCTCTTGTGCGTGTTTTTGAAAGAATGTTATGCTAAGTGTCTCTCCCCCCCTCCCTCCCAGATTACCGTCTGTCCATGCCCAGCGATCTGGGCGGCGCCTCGCAGGACGACGACTCCGTGCTGCAGTCGACAGATTCCGACGTCTTCCTGACAGACACGGCCGCGGAGAACATGGCCTGCCTCAACTACGTGAACGTCGCCATCGAGGAGGGAATGGGAGCCGCGGCGGCCCCCACCATACCAACCTCGTCGGCCGCCATGCCCCCGCTAGACGCAGTCCTCCCCCCGACCCACGAGGTGGTGGCCGGCCCCGCGACAAACTGCGCCTACCTGGCGTTTGAACCGCCACGAGCGGCCAGGGGAAACAGACAGGTGAGTGGGAGGCCGTTGAGGTCGCAAAAATAAACTTGGGTGTTTATTTGTATACACATGCACGCACACGCTCACATACACACACATATATGCACATACATGCACTCACATGCACACAGACATACCGGCACACAGACTTACATACTTTGTTGGTAGTTGGCGGGTGCTCTGGTGTGGTTTGCTCCTACTTTCCTATCAAACGTCTGTCATCCTTGTCTCTCCTTCTTTTTTGTGTACGTTACTCTCTTGTAACACTTCTGATCTTTGGCACTTATTGTGTTGCAAGTGATGTAAAAGACTTACTAAAATTAAAACTAATACTCTATCTCCTACCAGGTAAACTATTCCACTTTCCAGACACTCTCTGACAGTTAATGTATTGATATGCTTGTGTTTACTCAAACTCAAACTGACAATGGGTGGTTGGCGGGTGCTCTGGTGTGGTTTGCTCCTTCTTTCCTATGAAACATCTATCGTCCTTATCTATCCTCCTCCTGTTTTGTTCTTATTACTCTCTTGTAACACCTTTAATCTTTATTTGCAAGTGCCGTAAAAACTCTTACTAAAACTAAAACATCTATCCTCTTTATCTCCCCTCCTTTTTTGTGTTTGCTACTCTCTTGTAACACCTCTAATCTTCGGCACTTGTATGACCTTATTGTGTTGCAAGTACCGTAAAACACTTACTGAAATTAAAACTGACACTGTATCTCCTGCCTGGTAAACTATTCCACTTTCACTTTCCAGACATTTTGTGACAATTAATATATTGATATGCTTGGGTTTACTGAAACTCAAACAAAAATGACGCTGTATCTCCTCCTGCCAGGTATACTATTCCACTTTCCTGACACTCTGTGTGGGTGGTCGGCCGGTGCTCTGGTGTCGTTTGCTCCTTCTTTCCTGTCTAATATCTATCGTCCTTTCTTTTTTTTATGCTTGTTACTCTCTTGTAACCCCTCTAATCTTCGGCTCTTATATGACGTTATTGTATTGCACATGCCGTAAACCTCTTATTGAAACTAAACTTCTTTTTTGTGTTTGTTACTCTCTTGTAATACCTCTTATCTTCGGCACTTATATGACCATATTGTGTTGCAAGTGCCGTAAAACCTTACTAAAACAAACTCAGACAAAACTGACCCTGTATCTCCTCCCGCCAGGCCAACTACATCGTGATAGACCACCAGAACCCGGGCCAGGAGGGGGTAGGGGCTCCGGCCAGTCTGAGCAACCAGTCGCCCACCTCCCCGACCAGCGGGGTCTCCCTGCCCGAGTCACCCAGCAAGAAGCGCGAGAGCTACGCCATGATCGACTTCAACCGCACGGCAGCCTTGTCCAACGCCACACGGCCAGTGACCATGGAGGAGGAGGGCGGGAGGAAGACGAGACACAACAGCACTATCAGCGACATGCCCTGACGACCTTGGAAACAGCGACATGCCCTGACGACCTTGGAAACTAGCGACATGCCCTGATGACATCAGAAACTGGGACATGCCCTGACGACATCAGAAACTACAACATGCCCTGACGACGCGGGAAACAGCGACACACCCTGACCTTCGAAACAGCGACATGCCCTGACCTGGGAAACAGCGACATGCCCTGACGACGTCCGAAACAGCGACATACTCCATGTCCTGACATCCGAAACAGCAATATGCCCTGACCTCGGAATCAGGGCGGGATCCTTCCTTCTATCTGACACTGGACGTGCTCCTTCTGTCTGGCACTAGGCTGCTTCGTTCGTCTGGCACAGGGAGTGCTCCTTTCATCTGTCTGGCGCAGGGAGTGCTCCTTTCATCTGTCTGGCACAGGGTGTGCTCCTTCCTTCTGAAACAGGGTGTGCTCCTTTCATCTGTCTGGCACAGGGCGTGCTCCTTTCATCTGTCTGGCACAGGGCGTGCTCCTTCCTTCCATCTGGCTCAGAGCAGAGTGCGGCGACAGTGCCTGTATTGACAGATGTCCGTGTGTCGGAGTTGCAGACTGTTTATACCCAGTGATGTGTGTCGTTGACAGCTGCCTGTTGTAATCCTTAATGTGCTCGTGTCTCGCGTGTGTGTCGCTGTGATGTGAATGACATCACTGACGAGGTGTGTCAGACCGTTGCTTGTCATGGTGGAGCGTGTTGTCGTCTGCGGTGTTGGTACGCAGGGCGTGGCGTGTCGTGTGTGGCGGTCCCTCCTCGGTTCAGCCGTGACGAGCGACGTTTTCTTTCATCGTGTCAGCGATATGTGACCTTGCTCGGATACGTCTGGTGCTCTCGGATGTCGGATCTGATGACTTGACAGTTTTGTTGTTGAAAGTTTGGTGCGCAGCACAACCGGAAAGCTTGTTACTTATTCTCGGAGACAATCACACTGCCAGAAATGTATTGAGATTACTACTTGCCAAAATGTGTTATAACTACGTGTTCTGAGACGTGAACCGTGTCTCGCAAATTGCCAAAAGGGACAAGCAATATCGCTCCTCTGCTGCAGCACAGTGTGCATCCGGTGATGTTGTGCAGTCATGGTTAGTCTCTCTGCCCCTACGGGCGAAAATAACAAAAAACAAAAGAACAAAATATGAGGTCGATTCCCTCTTGGAGGAGATACGTTTCGGAGTGTCTGTTGAGATCATGAATCCTACGCAACGTGTGTGGGGGGCCTGCTGAGAGGTGGGGTCAAAGAAGCCTGCCTCTTGAATGATTTATATTGTGTTGATAGGGGGTGGTTGTTACACTGTGTGTAGGTAGGGTGATAGTCAGTTACACATTGTGTTGTTAATGGGGATGATAGTCAGTTACACACTGTGTTGTAGATGGGGATGATAGTCGGTTGCACATTGTGTTGTAGATGGGGATGATAGTCAGTTACACACTGTGTTGTTGATGGGGATGATAGTCAGTTGCACATTGTGTTGTTGATGGGGATGATAGTCAGTTACACATTGTGTTGTTGATGGGGATGATAGTCAGTTACACGTTGTGTAGATGGGGATGATAGTCAATTACACATTGTTTAGATGGGGATGATAGTTACACACTGTTGTTGATGGGGATGATAGTCAGTTACACGTTGTGTAGATGGGGATGATAGTCAGTTACACGTTGTGTAGATGGGGATGATAGTCAATTACACATTGTTTAGATGGGGATGATAGTTACACACTGTTGTTGATGGGGATGATAGTCAGTTACACGTTGTGTAGATGGGGATGATAGTCAGTTACACACTGTGTTGTAGATGAGGATGATAGTTACACACTGTGTTGTAGATGGGGATGATAGTTACACACTGTGTTGTAGATGGGGATGATAGTCAGTTACACACTGTGTAGATGGGGATGATAGTCAGTTACACACTATGTTGATTGTGGGTGGTAATCAGTTACACCTTGTTTTGAAAGGGGTGGTTGTCAGTTACACACTGGGTGGTAATCGGTTACAATTTGTGTTGATGTGTGGCTTGCTGAAATTTCTCCAGCAACGTCTGACGTCTGCATGACACCACGGTCTACAGTAGTACTCTTCATGGGGAGGGTGTGGGCAATGGTCCGGCAGCGTCTACGACAGGCCTCGGTTATTTCGTTGTCTCCTCCTCGGTGGCTTGTGTTGAAGTTATTGATACTGTTCTGAGGTGGAGAATGCCAGGGGAGGCGTGATGACCTGTGGTGGGCGGGCTTTGGTGTCACTGGTAGTGGTGATGTGTGTAAGACGTGCCTTGGGGTGGAACCAAATGGAACAAGACTCTTTAGTTGGGGACGGAGACAGGCGGCCTCCAAGACTTTTTCATACCCTTGAAGTTTTAGGTCACGGGAGTACAGCATAGTTACCTGATTTTTTTGGGAGGGTATGTTTTGTTACCGTGGACCAGAGTTTTATATACCCCCCGGGGCAGTGCCACTGACTGTAGTGTCTTTAGGCCATTCCCAAAGGGGGGACGTTTCTTGTTCAAGCATAGTAGAATTTTAAATTGGCTGACTCATGTCACGCTCATAAGTGTGCCTGATCTACAACAGGGAACTGCTGCTTTTTCTTTCCTGATCCTTACTATTGTCATTTTTCTCTACTTCTTTTGTATGTTTGTCACTCTCTTGTGACCTGCTATTTTTCCAGGGCGCCTTGATAGTCGAAGCAGACCTTGTGCTGTTGAAGCTAGAGAGGTGAGCAGTCTAAGTCTGATTCCCTGTAAAGACTTCTCTGTTGACATCCACCCCTTGGCGCTCATATGACCTTATGCAGTTATGAGCGCTGTAAAACCCTCTACTATAAAAAAAAAGAGTTTTATTTTAACAAGATGGGAATAATATGCCCCCCCCCAAAATGCAGCAAGGTAACTTTTCTTTACAACCGCTTTTCGGACTCTAGTGTTTAAAGAACTGGGGATGAAAAGTTAAATGGATTTTTTTTTTTTTTTTTTTCCAGAAAGGAGGGAAGAGGAGGAGGTCCAACTACAAGTTTTTCAGACCCTCTATAAAAAATGTCTTTTTACTTCAGTTTCAGTGCCATGTTTTTTTAGGGGGGGGGGGGGGGGTCCCTTTTATACAAGTTTGAGGTGTCAGTGGAAGCATGCCTGTGTCCGTCCCCGACACGCTCTCTCTCTCTCGGTCATGTCAAGGTCGTTGAATTTCGGTGGTGTTTGTGCCTTGTACTCTGACCATGATAATGCTCTCTCCTGTGGGGCAAATGTATACAGTGTGAGGTTGTTGGTGTAGAATGTCCAAATGTTTCCGTGCGTGCGAATGTGTGTCCCTTATCATACCCTGCTGCTGCCCTCTATGGGCGCTTGAGAGCAAGAGCTCGGCCAAGAGGGGGGGGGGGGGGGGGGTGTTAGGAACGGGAACAATTTCTGCTGGTCCCTGGAAGTCGAGATTACCTGTTTTCAGGGACTGTCTTGTCTTCCTTGGGTACTAATTCAGGAGGAAAAAATTAGCTTCTCTTTTTTGCTTTTTTTGCTCTTATTATATATATATATGTGTTTCTTTAAGATCTCTTTTTCTTTTTGTTTGGATTATCTGTCTGTATTTTCCCATTGTTGTTTCTGTCTGTCTGTCTGTATTTTCCCGTTGTTGTTTCTGTCTGTCTGTCTGTATTTTCCCGTTGTTGTTTCTGTCTGTCTGTCTGTATTTCCCCACTATTGTCTGTCTGTCTGTCTGTATTTCCCCACTATTGTCTCTGTCTGTCTGTATTTCCCCACTATTGTCTCTGTCTGTCTGTATTTCCCCACTATTGTCTCTGTCTGTCTGTATTTCCCCACTATTGTCTCTGTCTGTCTGTATTTTCCCGTTGTTGCTTCTGTCAGGGTTTTTAAAGATCTTTCTGCTATTGCTCTTTGTTTTTACTCTCCCTCTGTTGCTTCTCTCGTCTCTTTCATATCCCTATGTTGTTTCTGTCTGTCTTTACTATCTCTTTGCTGTTTCTGTTTGTAATCGTTTCTAACTTTTTGTTGTTATTCTCTTTGTGTGCTATCCCTCTGTTGATTTTTTAATATATATTTTTTCATATTACATATGCTAGTTCCATCCGTATTGCGCTTTAGGCTAAAAGGTCACAGGTCACGGCTATCTCTTATCCTCGATGGGTGTGAATAATGTGTAAAAGGCATCGATATCTGATGGGAGGATTCTCGTGTTGGCTGAGATACAAGTTGGTGGTTGATGAGTGGTCTGGTGTGATTTGCTCCTTCTTTCCTTTCAAACATCTATCGTCCTTATCTCCCCTCCTTCTATTTTGTGTTTGTTACTCTCTTGTAACACACCTCTAATCTTCGGCACTTACATGACGTTGTATTGTGTTGCAAGTGCAGTAAAACTGTTACTAAAAACTGAGGTAGAAAAATGCATGACATGTACGTGGACAATCTTCCAGGACTGAATGATGATGAATGAAGTACCGTACTGTGTGTGTATAGTAATAATAGTGGAGCTTCCTTGACTAATCAATCAAATGTGGAGCGTGGCCTGAGAGGTGTACATTCAGTGACAGTGAGATGGAGGAATGCTCATCAGAACAATGAAAATTACTGTGTGTTATTATTACCCTTGTCTGACGCCTTTCTTCATAATAGTTGTTTTATTGTTTTTTTAAGCTGTCTGAGCACTTTGAGGGTTTTTTTTTTTGCTTCGATGCTTATATATGTTGTGGGGGTTTTTTGTGTTGAAGATAAGGTGGTACTTTTGCTTAGGTGTATAGGATCTAGTCGATGTAGAGGTTAAAGTGACAATCTCCTGATTCCAGATGCTACTTTTTTTTTTCCCAACCTTTTCTCCTTTCGTTGAAAACAAAACAAAACAACCATCTCCAAAGATTTATCTAGAGAATTCCATGGTGGTGTTTATTTTTTAAATACTCGTCTTATTTGGCAATTGCGAGTGTAGTGTATCGTGTATCTGAGCTTTGTCCCTTACGCACGTATGATATGGGCAAAAGAAGTTTTGAAATTCCCTGATCTGCTGTGGGAAAGAAGCCTGTTTGCCTTCATCTTTGAAGTTATACTTTTTTTTTTTAATTCCTCTTTGTCGATTATGAATGATCTTGGTTTTTAAAATGAAGAGTACAGATATCCTGAAATGCTTTTTGGAAATTTCTACCCGGAACATTAAAACAATGTGCAATTTTCCCCTAAGAAGTGAAAGTTCTGTGCTGAAAATGTTCTCATATTTATTAAATTTTCAAAAATTGTGCAAGTAAAAGAGGTAGAGTCAGACCATTTTTTCCGTCCCTGTAAAATAAACTTTTGTGGTGTTGATGCCCTGGGTGCTGAAAGCTTCAGTGTTGTGTGTTGTAGTTGTCCGAGTGTTTGCGATGTAGGCGGATGTTTGGTGTGTGTTGTAGTTCTGAGAGAGTTTGCAATGTAGGCGGATGTTTGGTGTGTGTTGTAGTTCTGAGAGAGTTTGCGATGTAGGCGGATGTTTGGTGTGTCTTGTAGTTGTCAGAGAGTTTGCGATGTAGGCGGATGTTTGGTGTGTGTTGTAGTTCTCAGAGAGTTTGCGATGTAGGTGGATGTTTGGTGTGTGTTGTAGTTGTCCGAGTGTTTTATGGGAACATATGTCACAACGCGGTGAAACCAGGCGCTTGTCAATTTTTGGGCATGTGGAGTTACTGGTATCATCTGAAAGCTGATTTATAAATTGCCTTGCTTCTAATTAAATAAATATCAATTTATCTTGAATAGAACTCAAGATATTTGAAGTTGAAGAAAGTCAGGTCGCCTGGTTTCAGTGGTGAAATTAGCGAGAAAATGCCTGTTTCTATGAGTTCGTTATTTTGACGAGCGCCTGATTTCACCACGTTGCTCCACATATTTGTACGATGTGGGAACATATTTCTGATATGTATGGTAGTTCTTAGAGTGTTTGGCGATGTGGGAACATGTCTGTTGTATGGCAGTTCTCGGAGTGTTTGCGATGTGGGAACATGTCTGTTTATGTTATGTATGGTAGTTCTCAGAGTGTTTGCGATGTGGGCGTACCCCCCACAAAGACTTAAAAAAACGGATGCGGCTACAGCTCCACCTGGTGTTCGTGTTGTTGATATTTTGCTACAGGGGTCGTGCAAAGAACTTCCATGA